GAGTTGAGAGACTTTTTTTAAAAAACCACACTCGGGTCCATAAAATGTCATATTGGTTACTAATCAAATCTCATCAACATGATTACCATTTTTATAAATTTTTAGTTTTCTCATTGTGACACTATGAAATATACTTGCATTAATCTGGAAAATCCCAAAAGATGAAGCAAATTTGCCCAAAATCTTATCACGCGGTATAATTTCTACTAGAAATTATGTATTCAGTCATTTTTTTCATTTGAGTATGTAGTGATATGGTTTTTAAACATGTCGCTGTACTCATACCTGTAATTATGTTATCATCACTTTTTAATGTCATGTGCATTTATATTTTATAGTGTAAAGCCTTTGTTACAAATCGTAATATTCATTATCATATTTTTATAACCACACCATAATTACTGATTGTTTTGATAACTTGGTGGTTTAGGCTTCTGTAATCTAGGGCGCCCAGAGAGCTCATTGTTTATTCGTTCCCTTCCCCTATTCCACAGGGCTGGTACAATGAAGATGAAATACTGGTATACTGCTCACATTTCCCTAGCTTCATGCTTCTAAGCCGAAACCTCTCCCACCCTGGTATATTAGCTTTTCCTTTGAAGTTGACACTCTCAAGCTCACCTATCTTACAGCTGTGATTGATGGAGCTTGTTTCTTGTCCTCATTCCTATGGGTTTTGACCACCTTTCTTACTTTCATGTTTCATTCTGATCAAGTGCAGTTTCTTTTCATAAAATCAGTCTACCCAAAACAAGCTAATAATTCCACCTGACATCTAAATGAGCTCTAATGACAATTCCTAATATTATCATAGAACTTCTCTGAAATCTCGTCCTTAAACCCCACTCCTTGATCGTAATTACTAGTACTTTTTAAAAAGAAGTGTCTGCATTTCTTTTTATCAAGGATGCTATTTTGTCTAGATTATGAGGTCCCTTCTGCTAACCTCATCATTTATTTACCATAGAATCCTCTATGTTCTATCTCTTATTTTCCTCTCTACTTCACTGCCAGCTCACACCCTGTGCTTCTTCACACTTGATTTACAAAACCTCAACCCCAAATGCATACAATTACTCTAGACTCTATTTCCCCCCTAGGTTGGATATCATTCAATGGAGTATTTTAGTGCTGCTTCAAACACATGCTCTCTTATCCTCATCTGAACCAACCATTTTTTCTGACTCATTTACATTAAGTAGTTCCCTGGTACTTAGATTGCTTACTGATTGCTTCAGTGGCTGCATCAGCCATTTTATTAGTTTCTTAAAAACACTACCCAGCTCCCATCCACCCTGGACCTAGGCATCAGATGATGTCAACTCCTTTTTTCCTTAGACATGCAAAAATACTGAGTTATTTACTTAGATTAATAAGTGATAGCAATGAAAGTACTACAGCAAACACAGGCGACTGTGAAGCTGTGGTCAGTCCTATTAAAGTGAGAAGGAAAAGCAATGACCTTCATACCACTGATGGATCAATAATATATGGGAAATCTTAGCCAGTGCAGTAGGACTAGAAATAGATAGAAAGATTAAGTGGGAGGAGTGGTAGTGCCCATTTGTAATCCCAGAACTCTGGGAAGCTGAAGCAGAAGGTTCACAAGTTCATGCTCAGTCTGGGGAAAAAATAAACAGGGCTGGAGATGTAACTCAGTGCGGAAGCCTAATGTGACCTCCAGTATAGAAATAGAACAAAGAAAGAGAGGTGAATGTGAGTAGCAATAATATTTTTAAATGAGGAAAACATGATATTTGGAGGAACACAGGAGCAATGTAAAATGTATTAAAGAGATTCAATTTGATAGGTAGTGACCTATGGGCAAGCAACCCTTTACTTTTAATCTGAACAGGACATTGTGATTATTTTAGTTGAGCTGACAAATGTGCCAAATATATGGAAATCTCACAAGACATTTTGCCCAAACCAATGGCTATCAGCATACTAATAATAGTAAACTATAGCATTTTGAGGAGATACTTAATTTTAGGTTATTATTTTTTATTTTCTAATGAAATGCTTATGCTCTAATAATAGGAGATGCTTTTTGTGGCTTTTGCATCTGATAAAAAGCAAATATCTTGCTGCAAGTTTTATTTTAAAATATATTTCACTATCAGAGCTGGGGATTTAGCTCAGTGGTGCTGCCACCTACCTAGCAAGCACAAGGTCAGAGTTTGATCCCTGGTACCAAAAACGAAAGAAAATTCACTATCATACATTCTCCCAGCAGACTTTTATCAACTGAGATATTTTTCTGAATAAATCTTTTTAGATATTTGAATATCATAGATAGTCCTTATTAGTAAATAATAGTTCATAAAAATAAAATTTGCAATTTTATTAATGCCAAATATTAATGTAAGTTCAAGACTGTGTTGTATGTAGATTATTTTAGGTTTTGTGTGTCATTGAATTAAGTTTTTCACAAGATCCACAGACATTAACACAATCCCTGCTTTTTTATTTACATTTTTCTAAGCTGTGACTATCCATTTAGCTTGTTCAACAATTGAAATGTAATATTTGTAAGTTATATTATTTTAGTATACATTTTGATAGTTGGATAATAACTAAAATAATTTCATCTAAAACATGAAACTGAAAGAATCTTAACAGCTATTAATTTATTTATACTTACATTCATTTTCCTGAGTCATTTTATAAAGGCTAGATATTACACTTTAATATTGATATATTTGAGTGAAAACAACTGTTTGTCATTCCTACCACTAATTCCTAGGGTAATTATTTTCCACTGAAATCAAACACATGATAACAAGTGTTGGTATTTTCTAGGTATAGCTTACTTGAATGGAATGTGTAGTGAAAAGAGAAAATGCATCATTGCTGAAGACAATGGCCTGAACCTTGCCTTTACCATTGCTCATGAAATGGGTCACAAGTGAGTAAAAGTCATTATGTTATATATTTTCGTGCATAGATTTTTTAAAAGTGAGTTATTGAATTACATGCGTATCTTTCGAATATTTCTTTGTAATTCAAGTTTTCTAAAGCTTAAAGAAATAAAAGGAAATGAAGAAGAAAAATTTTAGAATGAGTTTTGAAAGTTGTGGCTATTTCTGTCACATTCAATAAAATCTTCTGACTATGACCTTCATCAAGAAAATATTCACAGTTTGTGATTGATTTCCCCACACGTCTCTCCAACACTACTAATATTGTAATAATCATGAAACTATACATTTATATATTTTGAACATCTCAAGGAAAGAGTTGGCATAGTTAAACCCGTTCATAGCCCAAAACAGTACTTAGGTTTGGTATTAATAAACACATATGTACTAAAGGGAGTAAGTTACAGAGCTTAGGTGTATTGTACTTAAAAAGATGAATAAGACATATAATTATCACGTAAGGATCATTACCTGTGTGATAGGTACAGTCATAAGCCCTTTACATAGACTACATATAGCACAAAAAACAAATATGTAGTGTCACAACTGTCATTTTACCAATGATATTACAGTAGCAATAATAATGAGCAATAACAATACTCATATAACACATGCTCAAATCCTCACAATAATCTTGTGTGTGTGATATTAGTAACCCATTTTACAAGAGAGAATACATCAACATAAAGAAGTTCATTTACCTTCCCAAAGTTATTTAAAAAAAAGAAGAAAGAAGAAAGAAAACTAAATGCCAGAGTAAAGATTTGAACTCTACACACTGAATCCAGGTTACACTGTTTTCATATTTAAAATTAAGTTACATGCTATCTTTGCCTTTGGTTTTTCATCAGTAAATTTAGGGTGATTCAGGGCTGATAAAAAATTGCAGTGTGTTTTTAAATTGAAAAGAATTGTAACAGTAAGAGACACATTACTGTTAATCCTCCTCACAATATGCTTAAGAACATGCTAATATTACCCACCCTTGCTGGTTTCTGAAGCAGTTCTAGGAGTCCTCTTTCATAAGTGTCTTTACATAGTGTGAAAAAAAAAAAAAAGGTGAATGCTTCTGTGAAGAGCCATCCCGGGAAGGATGGCCTCATAAAACATGATGGTACGGGTATGCCCTTACGCCCTCATCCAGTTTGTCTGCCGTGTCTGACTCCGTAGGAATTCTGGCTGTTTCTCCAAGTAAGAATGACCTTGGAAGATAAAAGCTTTGAATCAATTTAGGATGTCAAGGCAGCCAGAACAGTGCAACTACAGATGCTTAGGAAAGAGGATTTCCAGAGCTGCTTCACAAAGCAGCGAGAAATGAAGAGTGGGGGAAGAAACAGAGGGGAAGAGAGAGAGAGAGAGAGAGAGAGAGAGAGAGAGATGGACGGAGGGAGGGAGGGAGAAGAAAGCAGCAAGGAGGGGTTAAATGTGTTAAAAAATGGGGAGTAACTGCAAAGTGTCTTATTATCATTTTTAAAATTTAAACAATCACCATATTTTGTAATCACACCTTATACCTTTATTATGGAGTTGTTTTCAGATTAAAACTGGATAAAATTTAAGTAAGTAAGGGCTGGAAATGTAACTCAGTGGTAAAGAGCTTACCTAATATGTACAAGGCCCTCATTTCAATTTCAAGCACCATAAAAACAAAAGCAAAACCCAAAACTATGCATGTGTTTTCAGGAAGTTTACTCTAAAAGGAACGGAATGGATTGGAACACCAGACTTTGTTTTGACTATGATCTTTCCCAACAGCTGTCCATATGAGCAGTACAAATGAAAGTATTTTAATAACTGAACTCAGGAAGGTGATGGTCACAGACATGTTTACAAGTTTTGCCTTCAGAGTTTAAAAACTTTGATATAGTGTCGCACTCCTGTAATCTCAGCACTTTGGAGGCTGTGGCAGGAGGCCTGCTATGAGTTCAAGGCCAGGCCTGGCCTACACAGTGTGTTCAAGAAGAGCTTAAGATACATAGCAAGACCCTGTCTCAAAAAACAAACAAACAAAACAAAACAAAAAGCCAAAAACTTTTTTTGGTACTGGGGATTGAACTCGGGTCCTTGCGCTTGCAAGGCAGGCCTCCGAACCGCTGAGCTAAATCCCCAGCCCCCAAAAACTCTTAAATTAGTTGCCAACATTAAAACGTATAAAATTCAGAGTATCTGATCTGGCCATACTCAACACACAGTCCCGTTTTCTACCCATTTCTTAGAGCTCAGAACATTCTACCTCTTTCCACTGGGCCCTGCTTTCCCAGCTCATCACAGGGTGTAGCATTCTACTATCATATATCCAACCCGAAGTTTCATTATATTTCTGGACTCTAGGCAGTTGAGGATAGTTGAATTGGCAGTGGAATTTGACCAAAAGAAGAAACCTTAAAAGATCAATTCATATAGAACATAATTTATTGATGCAAATAAGATCAGGTCATAGTGTATACAATTCAATGAATTATCAACACATAGAATAACCAAAATTTCATCAGAAAAATGGCAAAAGATGCAACAACATAATTCAGAGATTTACCCATTAGTACTGTGAAAAACAATCTTAGCATCATTCATAGGAATATCAGTTGAAGCCACAGAGCAATCTTACTTTGCCGGTTTAATTACTACGTAAGCCTATTCGGATGAATCCGTTTTCACTCCCACTTGCAGAAACATTTGCTTCCGTGGTGTGAAAACTTCCCGCCCTCTTGTCTGGTTTTCCCTTCCTCTTTTAGACCATTCTTCAGAGAAGTCCACTATGCATACATTAAATTTCTTTAATATGCTCTTAAATGATCTGTATGAATTTTATTCCCAATTTTTTCCAATTCCATGTGTATACTACATGTACATTTCTTTTATATCTGTATTTATGTTTCTTTGCATCTATAATGGTTTAACAACTCACTTTTTGACTAATTGATTAAATTAGCTGTATTTTTTTTTTTCATTTTTTGAGGCAGGGTCTCACTATGTAGTTGAGACTGACCTGGAACTCACTATGTAGCCCAGGCTGGTCTCGAACTCACAGTGATCCTCCTGCCTCAGCCTCCCCAGTGCTGGGGTTACAGGCATGCGCCACCGTGCTAACTGTATTATTTTAAAAATAACTTAAACTCCTAAGTGAAATAAATAAGTCACACATGTGTAAATACCGAATAGTTTCTTTGGTGTAAAAAACTATAATACATAAGATCCTAATGAGATAATTGACAAAGTGAAATAGGAAGAAAAGGGCTAAAGGTGTAGGGGAAGTGGGAAGGGTAGGGGAAAGGTAATAAGGGAGAAGAAAAAATATGAGAAAATTAAAAAATGGAAATGAAGTATTTGTAAATGGGGAGGGGAGGAAGGGAGGGCAGGGACAAGGGGAAAAAAGTGAGAACCAAGACCTGTCATGTAAAGGGGCAAGATCCCACTGATGAATGTTACTGTACTGAATACCTTAAAGGTACCAATAAACTCAATGAGAGAAAAAATAGAATAAAAATAAATAGTTGATGAAATAATTATAAGGACTTGAATATAGCTGCTTTTTTGCATTAATGAAACAGTATTTTTTCCCAGCATTTAGTATCTATTGTCTCTGCACTTTCTCCTGCTAATTAAAAAATTGTACTTTTAAGATGCATTTCATTCTTGAGATAATACTATATATTCTTGGAATAATACAAATTATTTGATTAAAATCAGTTTCTAGTACTGTCACTATAGTTTTACTCTAGCACACCTAGGATAATTTTTACTTGTAACAAGTGTCAAAAAATGTGTTTAAATGTCCTAGCAGAGGTCTAGAGTTTTCAGGTCAAAAAGACTGCCATCATTTATTTAATGATCAAGAATCTCTAATGATAATGAGAATGTCTGCTTAATAGAGATGTTGAGTTATATAAAATGCCTTAAATTGGGGGAAGGTAATGCTTACATAGTGATAAAAATAGAGTATTTAATGATATGATTAGAAATATATGTTTTTGTTTGTTTGTTTTTGTTTTTTGTGCCAGGAAAAAGAACTAATATATATTATCACTACATTTTGGCATGGAGACACCTGACCATCTCCGTTTAGTTCCTTCTGATTCAGAAGATTCTCCAGAACGTAGGGACTAATGAGGTGGAAACTGTGCAGAGTTGGTTCCCTGAGGGCAATAGGCTTAAGTTTGGGGCACCTGCTAACATCAGTGCCAAGAACGCAGATGACTTGTGATTGATAGACCCTGGCAATCAATGAGATTTGCATGTATTCTCTGGAAGTTGTGCCTGGATAGACCTCAGGGTAGGAAGCGATAGATCATAAACTGCTCTGTCGACATCCGTATGTCTGTTATTGCCACCGATACTGTCACCAGGCCTCGGTTGAGGTATCTGAAGCATTCTTAACTCTTTCTCCTCTTAGTTCCTCTTATCATCAGCTGCCAAATTCTATTCATTCTCCACCTGAAATAGGAATCCTTTCCATCTGCTCCTTTTCCTCTTTCTCTTCCAGGTTTGGACCATTCCAAACTCACCTCAGTGGTCTTCATGTTTTTAATACCAAATCTTTTTAACTTATATCACACATAAGTAAGATGCTACTTCCAAAATCTTGGTCAGATTTTCTAGTTGAGAAATTTTTATTGCCTTTCATCACCTAATGAATAAACTCTAAATTCCTTAGCTTTAGATTCATCAGTTTTATAGTGATCACAATCTATTCCTCTAGCTTTATAACCAACTTTTCTATTTCAATGATTCTAAAAGAACAATAAGTTTTAAACATCATACCTTTATTCATAATTTTATTTCTTATCCCAGCTGTCAGCCCTACTGATTTATATCTGTTCCAATTTTACATGTTAATGACCAAGACAAATGCTACCACCTTTTATAAATTAAACCTGAAAGTTTCACCAAATATACACTTCCTCTTTTAGTTCCCTTGCATATTTTATTGCAAATATCACCTTCACTTACAATTATTTATTATATGTATAAATTTATGCATACCCAATCA